TCTGTACCACTTAGTGCAAGCCCACACCTATTTTTTGTCCTTGTCCTTTCATAGAAAAAATATTTCTTGTGATTTGTGCTAATACACATTTTTCTTTCTTTTCTGTGATTTGTGGCAGCACACACCAAAATTTTGTCCTTGTCATTTCATAGAAAAAATTATTATTTGTGATTTGTGCTAACACGTCTTGAACTTTGTCAATTGTGATTTGTGCCAACACACACCTCGTTTTTGTCCTTATCCTTTCATAGAAAAAATTATTTCTTATGATTTGTGCTAACATATCTTGAACTTTGTTAATTCTGATTTGTGTCAACACACACCTCATTTTTGTTCTTATCCTTTCACAAAAAAAAATTGTTTCTTATGATTTGTTCTAACACATGTTGAACTTTGTTCATTGTGATTTGTGTCAACACACATTTATTTTTGTCCTTGTCCTTTCATAGAAAAAATTATTTCTTATGATTTGTGCTAACACATCTTGAACTTTGTTAATTATGATTTGTACCAATACACACCTCATTTTTGTTCTTGTCCTAGTACCTCAAATTAAATGCCTCTTTGTTCTCTTGTTCACTGTGCTTGACTAAATACTGCAGCCTTTTAAGAGTGCTATTAGCTCTAATTTTTCATTAAGTGGCTTGCTTGGAACAATTGTGTTCTTTTCTATTCTATATGCAGCAGAACATAGTCTAGAGAACATCTCAGCTAGCAGTAGTCGTAGGATTGTATACTTCTTTTTTAGTACATTGATAGCTTGTGTGAGTTACTGAAATGACACGCATGTATATTTTTTTGAAATAGTAGATGATTAAATTTTAATATTTTTAGGTACCCATGGAGGAGGAGGATTTCCATTCTTATGGTGCATCTGCAAATGGTGACAATTTTTATACTTGTTCTAATCATGTGATGGTTGACAACCATTTTTTCTATTTGTTTTCAGTTCAAAGACAATGTGAAATTAGTTGCAGTGAAGAATGTCCAAACTGTTTCTAGTCCTGACTTGCATGTTTCAGACCTAGACATTATTCCCTGTCATTCAAAAGAAAATCAATTGGCTAAAAATGCAGCTCCTGATTTGGATCGTACTGGTTAGTATCTATTTTTTATTGCACATTTATTAGCACACATTTGAACTACTGCAATTATGGTATTTGACATGTGCAGTATCCATTCTTCTCACCTATAAGTTTTAATTTTGTTTACGATCTTCTATTTGATTAATCAAGAAAAGCAACTGTTCAGAAACCTTGTACTAAAAGCACTCCCTATTTTAATATTTCAAGTGCACCTTCATTTAGATTGTTTGATGATGAAAATGACTTAGGAAATTTTGTTGAAGATCCTAAAATGAGGTGACCTATTGGTACTAAAAACCCTGAGATATCATTCAGTTATATATTAGGTCTTGATTCTATCGTTTATATAGAAGATGTTTTGTGCTTGAACAAACATGTCTGAATTTAAATGGCTAAACTACGAAGGGTTGTACACCATGGTTCTGAGAAGGATGGAGAGATCGTTTCAGTAGCCATGCTGAGGTTTGTACACCGGCTGAATTTTTAATAATTGTAGTATGTAGTATCCTCTTTTTGGCTCCTCTTCATGACTGTTGTAGTAGAATAGTAGGAGCTCACATCTTTTAAGTTGATTCTAATCTAGTATAAGAAAGCTGTGTTTAGTATCCATTTATTGATTGCACATTTATAAATAGAAAACTGTACACTTAAATTTCTGTAATTATGGTGTTTACGCTATGCAATATCCAGTCTTTATATATAACTTTTCCACTATTTGTTTTCCTTTTTACAATTGTTTAAGCAGAAAAAACATATGTTCAGAGAACTTGCACTAGGATAACTCTCTACTTTTCATAGTCCAAATGTACTATCATTTTAGGGTTGACATTTTTTTTATTTCTGCAAAGTTTCCTGAGAACCTGGAAAGTAGGACTCCATTCATTGACTACTAACTCCTTTGTTGATGCAGTACAACATCTGACAAGAAACTGAACTGATCCTTTTGATGCAGCCAATCTTTAGATGAGAGACTGGGCCGAAGGTGATGCTGAGGTAAACCAGAAGGCGAGCGAGAGCTTTCTGAACTAGATAACACTGCAGCTAGAGGTGCAGCCGTTTGATTTATGTCTACCAAATGTGCTAGAATTCGTGTGCTAGTGCTGTATGAAACAATCGAATTTTGGTGCTAATGGAAATCGAGTGTACAAACGAGTGCTAGTTGCTTCTGAAATACACGGATGTAACGTAGACAGACTCTAAATTAATGGTTCTGCTTAGATGCTCTCTCATGAACGCAGGCTTCACGTATAATTAAAAGTTCAGTTCAGTTGTACTCCAACGAGATGGTTTAAGTTGCACGAAATAATTTGAACTGAATGTGTCTGCCAGCCGTATCTAATCGAGCTTGCAGTCTGCATGGGTTGATCCGTTGATGCCATTACCGTCCACTCAGCGATACCGACGATGGTTTTGGGTTTTGCAGGAAGATTTTGCAGCGGCAGAGCGCACGAGGGGACCGATGCACTGACACCAGCAAAGCGAGATGGATTTGGCCCATGCGGCAGCATTCAACGCCTTATCTGACACCGTACATCTCTTTTTCTCTGTAATAAAGAGGGAGAAGTAGCCATTCACCGTTTAACACGCTCATCTTTATATGGCCGGCGGCGGTCGTTTTCAAGGTTGTGGCTCCTTCGCCCCCATCGCTTTTCTGCAAGCCAGTGACAGAAAATTTCTTGACGCCAACTCTTGCAAACAGGTTGCACAGCGACATTGCACACTGGAGTGCCTCACAAATTGCCGCGGAGGCGGCAGCTACTTGTACCAGTGTACGTATATACTGTACTACTACTATCTAGGCAAGTGGGCCGTGTGGCCTCAAGCAAGAGCACGTACAGTGTACCCGTTTCAGATCGGAGAGGTATCCGAGGCAATGCATTTACAAAGTCATAGGCAGTATTGCACGTACGTAAGTAAGTACTTATCGAATGAATTCCTCCCCTTTGATAGGGAAGTGGTTTAGTGAACAAAATCTAGGCAAAAAAACATTTTTAACGTGACGTCGTACTATATGATAAACAGATCCCTAAACATAAAAGGATATGTGCACACAAAGAACACATCTGTCATCGCTCTTGAATAAAGGGCAGCACCTTACTTCAACGTTGCATCGCCTTCATACCGTGGGTGTGTTACCTTTCAATGTCGTGCTGCATCCGTGTGTTACCTCTTTGTGAAATCGATACATACATATGCGGGTTCAAATTAGATGTCAAACACCGTGTGATGCAACAAATGTAGTGGTTAATAAAACATACGTATAGCGAGCGAAGTTATGAGGTATTTATAGTCTATCATAAATCCAATTGTTTTGTTGAAAAGCTAGTAAGCTTTAACCAATGCTTTATTTTAGTTAGCATTTGGTTCGAGAAACAATGAAGGCAGCAAACCTGGCTCCATCCATGACCTTGCGGTGGTGAAGAAGAGAGAGGGAAGGCGCCAAGCTCAGCCTTAGGTTGCCCGTGGTGGAGGAGATGTAGAGAGGCAATGAGCTCGGCCTTCGCGCACCTGCGATGGAGGAGGGGAGTGAGACGGTAGCCCTGAGCGTGTTAGGCTGGTGAGCTCTACCCTGGCCCTGACCCTTAGCCTACAACGGTAGAGGAGAGGGAGAGAGGAGGCATCAAAGCAAGGGAAACCACGAATGGGGTGTGGAAGAGGAAGAAGTTAAAATGGTGGCTAACATGTGGGGGTCCTTACCCTTATGCTGTTGTTATAATATATTCCAATAGGCATCCGTCCTTAACCTCACCATCCTTGTACTAAACATAAAACAAGTCCGACCTGAGATGCTTTCGATCTAGAGCGTTCCATATCAGTTTTTCATCTTTCGTATGAGTCCCTTCAACCAAACATAGATATAAGGACTCATTCTGTCCTCTCCTGTCTTCAAACCAAACATAGCCTTAATGGCCTTAGAGGATATTTTTGGTTTTGGGTGGTTTGGGATTGGTCAAATACTCAAGTGACATGGCTAGGGGACTCAAGACATGGCAGTATGTTAAGGAAATTAACTATTCTCTAAACATAAGACGCTTAGTAGAGTGACGCCTATTCTAAAGTCACATTGGAGATTTGTTTTGTGAGGATCATCTGAGTTTAAGTTGGAACAATTAGGTTTTGTGAAAATCCGAGATAGGTATAAAGATAGATAGAGCGACACCTATCTTTAACACAACTTAATATCCCCTATCTATCTTTTTTTTTCTTTTTTTTTTTTCTTTTACCCCTCTCTCAACCTTATCTATCTACTTTATAGTACGTCCACATCTATCTTCTCTACGCCATCTTCTCCATGGCACCAAAACGCACACAAAGGACTCCTTCCTCGCATCCGTCAAAGCACGGGTCTATGTGCCGTGCTGCTAGCTCACCCGCACACCTCTGCGCTCTTCGGCCTGCCCCTCCGTGCCCGTACATCCGACTCCGGCTAGCCACCCAACACCTCCCGAGATGCGTCGAGCTGAGAGTTGAGCGCCGCAGCCGGCCAGGTGTCGCGTCGGCAAGCGCCATCACCACTAGGCATGCTGAGCCACGCACCGCTACCATCGCTGGATCTAGACCGTCGACGGCTTAGATTACGCATTGATGGACGACTCCCATTTTCCGTGTTCCCAACTAAAAAAACCTAAGAAAAAAGGACATACCCAGTACAGAGAGCTCTCGTTCTATGCGGAGTTTGGGAAGGATGAGGATGGTACAACCGTCTTCGACCGTATAAAAAAAAACACCAAAAGCCCAGCTGACGAACCCGAAGAAACAAACGAGCTGTTTGGCTCCTCCTTCCCCTTCCCCATCTCTCATCGCCACCACCCCCGGTCCTGCTCCTCTTTCTCTGACCTCGGCAGCTCCCATGAAAACCTAATCCCCAAAACCCTCACTCAAACCAACACTGCCGCCGCCGCCGCCGCCACCGCCATGTCGCCCCCTATGCAGGCACCCAACTACAAGCACATCACGGAGGAGTGCCTTCGCGAATGGAAGGGCCAGTCCGCCGGCGCCTTCCGCCTCCCTGATCCGGTGCCCATGGCGCGCTTCCTCTACGAGCTCTGCTGGGCGATCGTAAGCTTCCGACAGTTCGGGCTGCTCCGTGATTAGGTTTTCCTCCACCGGCTGGTACTTCTGTGTTCACTGGGTGGGCTGGGCTGCGCAGGTGCTGGGCGACTTGCCGCGGCAGAAGAGTCGGGTGGCGCTGGAGTCGGTGGTGTTCGTGGAGGAGGAACGGCGGGAGGAGGAGCTTGGCTCTGTGCTCGCTGATATCATCGCTCACCTAGGACAGGATGTGAGTATATGCAACTGGTTCTGATGCCAGTGTTGTTCTGTGGTTTCTGGTGTGTATTTGTTTAGTTAACTTTCTCAATCTAGGATTGTATCCTGTCTTTTGGTGGCACTAGTTATGTGTGTATGGACTAAATTGGCCACTTTGTAGTGTGTGTATTGCTTGCTGTGGTAGCTGGATCGACAATATAGCTGAATTGTTTGGTGCTTTGAACAGCTTTGCAGTGGAATTGGACAGGATGTGTTATTTCTGGGCAGATGTTAGGCTACCACTTTTATTATTGTTTCATGTACTATGAGTGTTGTTGCGATAAAAAGTTTCAGCTGAAGTTGTAACATAAACAAACTCAATCAATGCTGTTCTAGGTTAGTACTTAGGTACCATTTTTTGGTTGACCAGAAATGAACCAGGTAGTTTTCATGCAAATCTATTATTACATGACCTAGTCAGCAGCCTCGTACACATGGATGTTCATTTTACTAGCAGTAGATAATTTTTTCGCCAAGCGATCACCTTTGATGAGCTTCTATGGTAACTGGAGAAAGCTTGTTCACATTAGGAACCTTATTAAGGGTCAAAAGTTCATGCATATCTTTTAGTTTCTGTTTACGTGATTAAAAACTGAACACACATGGCGCTAGATGTCCTTTTAGGCATGATTTATCCAAAATTGAACTGTTCTGGGTGCATACCGATTACCAAAAAAATAGATTAGCCTCGAGGTGTCTCTAAGAAGTTCTGTTTCGATGCATTTCTTTGAACTAAATGGTGGACAGTAGAGATGGCGATGTATAAATGCAAATGATATTATTCACTGTGTCGCTTACCATTTCCCGTCATATAATTTAAATGTCTTCTTGCCTCTGTTGCTTTGTTATTTATCTGCTGCAATTGGGTTATTAGACTTTGACCCATGATTCACTGCTTTTACCTGATATGAACTTTGGCACCTGTGATTTTTTTTGGATAAGTTTTTTCTCCTTGTGTTTCGGTTTAGTGGCATTCCTCTAACAGTGTTTAGCCAGGCTAACCTACTTCAACATGCAGATTACAATCTCTGGTGAATATCGCAGCCGTCTTGTTAAAATGGTAATAAGCTAGGCATGACTTATAAAGCAAATGAAACAATTCACACTCCCTCGCTGTCTACTTTCCTTTTGATTTAAAAATGGGACTGCTCATTGATCTCTATTTGAATACTCATCTTGCAGACTAAGTCATTTCTGGAGTCCTCGATTACTGCGCCTAGGCTTCTGCAAGAGCGATGTGAAGTGAGTTTTTTTTATTCCTTGTGCTAGTGACCATATCTCTGTTGGCATCAATTTAAGATAAAGCTGATACATGCTTTCTATTTCCTCCACCCATGGTCTTGAAGGAAGATTTCCTTTGGGAGGTTGAACAGAGTAAGCTGAAAGGACAGGATTTAAAATCCAAGGAGGTACGCATAATGTGAATCTGTCATACGCGTTGAGTCATGGCGTTCGTGGGCACACATTGATAAACTTTGTTATGAAAACTCATATTTACCATGATATATTCATAATATCCTTATTTTTTCTCAAACACTTTCACCTCCTAACCTTTCCCCCATTATCGTGGTTCTTGAGTGATTTACTTTTGCCTCATGTTATTTGCTGATTTGTTTTTTTTTCTTTTAACATTAACTATATATGGTCAATTGATATTTGATTTAAATGACCGGTAACAGGTTAGGGTCAACACACGGCTTCTTTACCAGCAAACTAAATTCAACCTCTTACGGGAGGAAAGTGAGGGCTATGCCAAGTTGGTATGTATATCTACTTGTCCTGATTTTGTGTTCCTTTTTTTTTGTTCTTGTAGTAATTTTAGAGCAGTAGCATATATTCTGCTTGATTGGGCCATCCCTGTAAAACATTGAATGATGCCCTTCTTAACTACCATGTTGACTAATCGATTACGAAAAATTGAATTGGATTTTTGCGGTTCTTTTTTCTGCGGTACCTTGACGTGACATGAGCGTGAAAGCAATGTTACTGCGTGAAAGAGGTCCAAGAATCCGTTTTCTTTCTATAAGGGCTAAAATATACACTGGGATGCTTAATTGACTAGTTTAATAATTGAATGCCCATGCTTTGCTATGAATAAAGATAACCATAAGTCCATAATCCTGTTCCTTGAATCGTAGTTGATGGTTTGTCTGCCGTACTGCCTTGTCCATCTGGCTTTTGTCCTTGTCTGAAAGTGCATGCTTGGCCCTTGTACTAGCCTGATCGAACTTTGCCACAGCAGATGTTGCACCTCGAATGTCGTGACTGGTCTGATCACTCTTGTAGCCTCTGCTGTTGCACCTTGTCACCTCCATAGGGTGAGGAGGGGACATTGAGAAGCTGCAACAATCCATATACTGGAGTAAGAAGTAGTTTCTTAGGATGGGGTCAAAATATGGTAAAGTGTCAGCTATTACATCCCCCCCCCCAAAGAATTTCTTAGAGATGGCCGAGGGTTATCAACCTACCAACGACCTGGAGTCCTGGACATTTAGATTATTAGTATTCCATCCGTTCCAAATTATAAGATGTTTTGGCTTTTTATATGCATTGCTTTTCCTATGTATGTATACATAGTGTATATCTTCCTCGCAAAAAAAGACAAAGTGTATATCTAAGTGCATAACAACAGCTATGTACATAGAAAAGCTAAAATGTCTTGTAATTTGGAATAGAGGGAGTAGCAAACAAGTGCACTGTTCAATGTGTGTCCATTAAAGTAATAAGCTCATATTGATGCTAAGGATTGTAAGTTAATATCAATATAGCAGGAAGTTATGAGTTTATAATTCCCAAAGCAACTGTTAGAAACGTGTTGCTTAGGAATACCATGTCCTCTATCTGTATATAGATTTGTACTTTGAAAATTACCTAAATGATTGTACCTTTCCACTGTCCGCGATTTCTTCCAATCATGTTCTCCTATAGTTTCGTAAGGTTCTTTTGTGATGCTTATTGAAGTTTATCGGTTTCTTACCGTACCCATCTATGTGTGTGGGTCATTCAGGTGACACTCCTTTGTCAAGTTGGTTCAGATCTGGCTTGCCAGAATTCTTCTTCGGTTACGATCAGCATTATAAAGGTTGTCTGTAGGCCTTAATTCCCTCTGTGCTATATTTTTAGCCTTTTTACCAGTACTGTGTAATAACAAATTATTTATTTTGTGACAGTCATTGATTGGCCATTTTGATCTGGACCCAAATCGTGCATTTGATATTGTGAGTCTTCGTTTACTATGCCACTGTTATTATGTCGGAGAGTGTGTTGTTGAAGTTGTGTAATTCTGTTATTCTTGTCTGCAGGTGTTGGAGTGCTTTGAACTTTATCAAGATAGTAACATCTTTCATCAGCTCATACCTCTTTTTCCAAAGGTATTTGTTCTATTAGAACCAGTATCCAATAATAGTAGTCTCATAATTTATGCATACTTTCAGTTGTTTTACCACATCTTACATGATTTTTGTCATAATTAATGCAATGTTTTCTCATGTCTTATGATTTTCTCTATTACAGTCCCATGCTGCTCAAATTTTGGGGTTCAAATTCCAGTACTATCAACGATTGGATGTCAACAGCCCTGTTCCATCTGGGCTTTTCAGAACAGCAGCTTTATTGATCAAATCTGGATTCATTGACCTTGATAATGTGTATGTTTCCTAATAGCCCTCTCATCCCTGCAGAATTCATGATTGCTAACAGTCATCTTATAGATCATTATAAATCTGTAATTTAAACGATTGTCAGTTTTATTTTATTTTATTTTATGCTGTGAGGTTTTCTAGCTCTGGTTTTCTCAAGGTGTAACCAACAAAAAAACTTTGTTCTTTCTTCAATCTTTTATCTGTACCGTGGTGGCCACTTCCTAGTTTCCCAATTTTATCACTGTTTTCAGTATTATTAGAGTTCTATCAGTTATTCAGTTCATTTTCCTCAAGTTGTGCAAATATAGGTGCTACTGAACCAAAGGGAACTCATATGAATATACAATTTCACTGATTGCAGTCTCTCTGTGTTCTTTTTTATGTTCCATATATAGTTTGATTGGTGCTGGATCTATTTGTTTCTCAAATGGGATGTGTCATGACATTTTTTTTCTCTCTCCAGCTATTCTCACTTGCTTCCAAATGATGACGAGGCGTTTGAGCATTTTGATTCTTTCATTTCGAGAAGAATTGATGAGGTTGGTATTCCCTATATGTTTGTAACTGGCCAAGGAGAGTAGCATGAAAGGGAGTGGCAAAAAGGAAAGAAGGTTGAGGGAGGGAAAAGTTTAGAAGTTTCTTGAACTAAAAGTCTTATGTACAGCCATCCCTTCATGTGACATATGCTACATGGTTATGTTACATGTTGACTAGTAACTATGTACACTATTTTTCCCTTTTGTCATAATGGAAAACAGAAAGAGCTTTTGTCTTTTGTTTCTTGACCGGAACAATTTCTACCTCCACATGTGAATTTGATCTTACATTAACGATATGTCCGTATTGATTTCTTTTTAAGTAATATAGGACATTGAAGCTATGACTGATGAGCTTACTCTTTTTCTTGACTTCAGGCTAATAAAATTGGCAAAATCAACCTTGCTGCTACTGGAAAGGACCTTATGGATGACGAGAAACAAGAAATCACTATCGATATGTATACAGCATTGGAGATGGAAAATGATATAGTTGCGGAGCGAGCCCCTGAGATGGAGAAGAACCAGAAACTTGGGCTTCTTCTTGGTTTTCTCTCTGTGCATGACTGGTAATATACATATGTTCCATTGTTTTTTACTTGATCTATAATTAAATTAAATAAATTTAGATGTATTTTTATTGTTTTATTCGGCAATCACATTTCTGTAGTAGATGCACCAGTATTTTTGCGCATTTTGTAAATATAATTATTGTATAATCATACTGTGAAGATAATAAGATATCTAAAAGCAATTTTTAGTCTAGAGTGACTTTGATTGGAACAAAAATGCTTTATTATTGTTGTAAATATCACTGTGACTTGATTGGAAGAAAAATGCTTTATTATTGTTGTAAATATTACTGATTGATTCCCTTTGTTCTTTCCTAGGTATCATGCACAACTACTCTTTGAGCGTCTTGCACACCTAAATCCTGTTGAGCACATTGAAATCTGTGATGGATTATTTAGGTTTGTTGTATTTCTTTTGTTCCAATGATTATATTTCTTGGGTTTATGCAGTTTAACATATATTTGCCTTTATTTTTCTTTTGTGCAGAATGATTGAAAAGACAATGTCTTCAGCCTATCATATAGTTTGTCACCTGTATTATTACTTGCCTCCTAGAAATGATGCTGACCAGACAGGCACATCTGCTCTGTCTTTAAGTTCATTTGATCTGCCAAAGGAGTTTTTCAAATGCTCACCGCTTGTGGACCATATCTTCATCGTGATACTCAATTACTACAAAAGGTGACTTAAATCTTTTAGGACTGCTCACTATCATGCATACTTGCTGCTGCCAAACTGATGGCTTAGTTCAGTATACAGATGCCACATTATTGATTGCGGCGTTGGAATTCTTACAGAAGCACCACACTAGCCTTTGCATTGCATCTATTGTCATAAGTCATGACTAGAATTTCCTCTATTTGTTGTGATAAACCAAAATGTCACTGTTGTTGCCTAGTTATAACAAATCAACAACCAAGTTTTTCAGCCTTGCAGCGCAAAATGTTATAATTTTGTTATTCTTTGCTTGGAATTTCCAAGTATCCAGTTTCACATGAATACTAGTGAAAATGTTGAACATCATGTACTTAGTGATCCATCATCCATGTTTACTTTTTAGGTTTGCAGAGTATTAAAAGCGTACTACCACTCATCAAAAGAGTCAACACGTGCAGCAAATGTAGTTTCACCAGAATCTCAAATTGAGGAAGCACTTGGCTCGTGCTTGTTTCCTTCGTCGCAGCTTATCCCTGCTAATCCTGCTGTTGATATGGAGATATGGGGGGTTCTTTCCCTTCTTCCATATGAGGTTTGTGATATTATATAATTTTGTAGTGTTCTATTCATGTTTTTAGCAATTTAGTACCTTGACTATCCTTAGTTTCCAGGCCCGGTATCGTCTGTATGGTGAATGGGAGAAGGAGACTGAAGAAAACCCAATTGTCCTTGCTGCAAGGCAAACTGCAAAGGTTACCTTTCTATTCTGTTTAATGTTTTTTCTAATCTATCACTTCATGTCAAGTTTTAAATTCGCGCACATCGTTTTTTTAATCAGCTGGACACCAGAAGGCTCCTAAAACGGTTGGCTAAGGAAAACCTGAGGCCACTTGGCCGCATGGTGGCTAAACTTGCCCATGCGAATCCCATGACTGTGCTTCGGACAATTGTCCAACAGGTACGTGGAACAGAAGTTGTGTGATGTATTCACTGTTTTTTAAGGTTGGTAATTATTCGATTTCAGTTAGAAAATATCATGTGCTGCATAGCCAAAGTTCCAAACAGTGTATTTCCTTGGGAAACCTGAACCACCATGCCTATTTCCCAGCAACTGTTGATGTTTTTTTGAATGACTTCTGTTTAGCCTTTTCAAATCAATCACGTAACTCCATAGTTCAATATCTTGTTACCATGCATGGCATCCGCCAATGGCCATGATCTTTCCTGTTGCGATGCTATTTGATATGCCATAGTGGCATAGCTGGCTATTGGTACCATGCCATTGGTGCTCTGCATAACTAGACCCCCCCTCCCCCCTCCCCCGACACACACACACGCACACACAAAAGGTTAGTTACGTTAAGCTGCTTGTACATCTGCCTAATAAACGTCATGGGAGTATGTTTATGTATTTAATGCGAAGTCACCCCCAGGTAATTGTCCCTTGTTGAGAATTGGTCCAACTGACAATGGGATGATTATTGTCCTGAGGAAAACAAGATATGATGAGAAAGGTATGGTATTGGAATCGGTGTGAATGGAGTGAGAAGTTTAGAAGAGATTTTAAGACATCCACTATTTGTAATTCGTTATGGACTGCATTTGGGAGCGTGGTTATTCCTTTTGTAGGGATGAACGAACATGATCCCAAAGAGATAATATCTGACTTTTGGAAACTTATCTCTAATACGTGGAATCTAGACAAAACTAACAAGGAAATTAGCTACCGTTATCCCTAATTTTCAACTAACCTTGCTCTTGTGGGCACTGCAAATTAATCATTTTTGGTCATGTTAGGGTAATTGCGGTGCAGGGACACAGTTCATCAGAGGGTCTCTAGATTCATTCACCTCAACTGTAAACCAGTTTCTTAGGCATTAGTGGGTTTTGGAAAAAGTCTTGTTTATATGGTATACATAGGTACCCAAGAGTCCATAGGGCGCAGTATTAATCAGTCTCACAGAAGCCTAAGCGGTTGTTTGCATGCTGTAGTTAGGGCATTGCTCATATTCCTTTGTTCGTTGCATGCGGTCCTTCCTGTGCTATTTGGTTTGGCAGGTGGGGGGTGTTGGGGGGGGCACTAGCACAACGATCGACACTCTGCCTTGGTATACGTTTTTGTACTTCTCGTACCTAAGAGACTGGTCTGGAGGGAGTAATATTTATTATCACACTTTCTTTAGTGTTGAAATTTATACTTAGTCTCTCCGTTCCAAATTATAAGACGTTTTGACTTTTCTAGATACATTGCTTTTACTATGTATCTAGACATAATGTATATCAAAGTGCATAGTCAAAGCTATGTATCTAGAAAAGCCAAAACATCTTATAATTTGGAATGGAGGGAGTACAATTCAGTGATCCTGGAACAAAAAATTTAGTCATACCTTGGGTTGTTTGCACTATGCTATGCCTTATATTATTGTGTATTTTTCCGATTTGTTTACAGTTACATGCCAAAATTTGCAGGTTGAAGCATACAGGGATATGATTACACCAGTTGTGGATGCATTTAAGTACTTGACTCAGGTAGTAGCTATTATTTTATCTATGTATATTTTTTAATGTTTAATTGTAATTATTGCATGATTTATGAATGTAGCACTACCCTTTTACTGTATCAGCTACAATTATTTATTATCAGCATTGTTTAATCATATACTTCATTTACAGCTGGAGTACGACATCTTGCAATATATTGTCATTGAACGCTTGGCACAAGGTGGTCGTGCGAAACTTAAAGATGATGGACTTAATCTCTCAGATTGGCTTCAATGTCTTGCATCCTTTTGGGGGCACCTGTATGTACCTTTTGACTCTGAAACTGTTACTACATTCTGGTATCCTACATTTTTTTTCCACCAAGGCAAAGCCGAATTTCATTACTATAAAGCAATGAAATTACAAGAGTTCGAGACAGTATCACAGTAAAAACCATAAACGCTTTTGTGCAAAAAACTACCACATTGAAATGAACACAGATGGTTCATTCAATGGGCAAAACCTGGACTACGATCACCTAAAAACGACTGCAACTTTTAGGCATTCATCGCAACCCCCAGCCAACATGACCCAACGAAGTACGGTAGCTTATTACATGCCCCAGACGGCACAATTCAGCAGCACACATGCTGCAAACGGTTTCCAGCAAAAGCTTCCAAGTGACTTAGAATGTAGATCTTCAGACGATCGCCATCCAGTTGTCGCCCCCGTCCATCCGCTCATGCTGATGAAATCGGAGCGCCGTCTTCTTGAGAACTTCCGCGCCGTACTCCATCTGCACTGACATAGCTTCCTTCTGCAAACCTGCCCAATATGATATTGTAGAGGATATCAAACAAACGAGTTCAGTGGGCGTCTTGACTCTTTTCTCTTCAAAACAAATGTTGTTTTTTGTCTTCCAAGTTGCCCAGCAAACAGCTGCTAATCCAACCAAATACACTTGTCTGCCCTCTGGTAAGCACCAGTTGATCCATATCCAGAATTGAGAGAAGGAATTGGGTCTCACAGTTGCCCCGAATATATATGCCAAGATGCTCCATACATATTTGATCACAGGGCAATCAAACATCAAGTGTTTAACTGTTTCCTCTTCCTGGCAAAAGGCACACGCAGGGTTACCTTTCCAGTTCCTCTTTAGTAAGTTATCCTTAGTTAGGATAGCATTCTGTAGAGTTAGCCACATAAAAATCTTGATCTTTAGAGGCAATTTAGCTTTCCAAAGTTGTTTGTTGTTCACACCATCACAGTTACTGAATAAGTGTTTATATACTGATTTGACAGAGAAAAGTCCAGATTTTTCCCATTTCCAAATTACTCCATCAGACTGATCATTAGTCTTGAATCTGAACAACATATTATGTAAATCCCAAAGCTGATTCTGCAAATCCTCAGAGAGCCATCTTTTAAAATATAGTCTCCAATTTTGTTTACAAATGGTATGCACTGAGCATTCCTGATCAAAACATATATTATACAGATTAGGAAATCTATCCTTCAGGGATAGCCAAAGGGCGCCTAGCTCAAACGGTTAGGTGACCCAGCGGCACTCCTCAGGTCCTGGGTTCGACTCCCCGTGGGAGCGGATTTCAGGCTGAGGTTAAAAAAATCCCCTCGCCTGTCCCCATGTGCCAAAGCGCAGTGGAAGGCCCCGGCCCGGTTCTCACAGGGTGACGGCACCTCCTGCGTCAGGATGGGGGCGGGGGTTCGGGGGTTTTCTCGATCTGTGTGAGAAGATCCTTCTTCTTAACGGAAAACCCGGGGGCCGTCATAACCCCCCGCAGGTCGAGTTTTTTATATTTTTTTTATATTTTTTTTTATCCTTCAGGGATAGAGGCCCACACCAGATGTCATTCCAGAAGTCAATGTTTTTTCCATTGCCAAGTCTCAATACTCTCCCTTTCACATATATATGTTTAACTTTAATTAAGTCATTCCACACCTGGTATCCTACATTTATATTACTTTATTGCACTTGATTACTCTTTCCAAATTTATTACATTTATTCAGAGTTCTCGTATTCAGTTTTCAGATTTTTAATTGTGCTCCCAATTATTAAAGATAAAGTTTATTCTGCCGCTGACTCTGTTTTGATCCAATTCAATTTTTACAGGTGCAAGAAGCATAGTGCTGTGGAACTGAAAAGCCTTTTGCAGTATCTTGTTAATCAACTGAAGAAGGGTGTGGGCATTGAACTTGTTGTCCTGGAGGTCTCTTGGCTGTTCTTTTTAAGCTTTCTTTCTGCCTTTGAATCATAGGAGGCTGAAACCTAACATAATTAGTCATGCAGGAGCTCATTCAGCAAATGGCGAATGTGCAGTACACCGAGAACATGACAGAGGAACAGGTTGATGCTATGGCAGGAAGTGAGACTTTGCGGCAGCAAGCTTCACTGTTTGGAGCAACAAGAAACTATAAGGTTGAGGGAACATTCATCTATCTCAGCAGCATATTAAGATAAACTATTTCCTTACTGAAAAATGTAATTCTTTGGCAGGTGTTGAGTAAATCTACAAATAGGCTAAGGGATTCATTGCTTCCAAAAGAAGAGCCCAAACTTGCAATTCCTATGTTACTGCTTATTGCTCAGCATCGGTCCAAGTAAGATTTTGATTAATTTGGTGCCACTATCAGTGTGTTTCAAAGCATGCAAATGGCGATGCAGAAATATGAAATGGCGTGATTACTAATGATTTACACACCAAAGGAAATAAGGACTGGAGTAGGGTAGGGGGTCAAGCATTGGCTGACATAATTTGTTAAATTATATTTTTATATGGCAAATTGGCCCTTAGTGTGGCCTATGCCCCTCCCCCCCTCCAGAAAATTCATGTGTTGGCAATAGATCCTGTCATATTTAATTTTAGCTTTATGCACCAATTTTAAATCTTGATAAAACCGTTTCTATTCCCAGGATCATAATAAATGCAGATGCCACATATATCAAAATGGTCAGTGAGCAGTTTGATAGATGCCATGGAATACTTCTTCAGTATGTTGAGTTTCTTTCAAGCGCCGTGACTCCAACTGCCTATGCTCAACTAATACCTCCTTTGCAAGATCTGGTCCATAAATACCACATTGAGCCAGAGGTAGTAAATTTTGGTTTCTACCACCTCTGCTCTTTTGCTGACTTTGTTGTTGCCTTGTGTCCGGATGTGGGTGGTGCTACTTGTTTCAGTACTGTTCTTCATTATGGGTGACATAGTGGTCTTTATCTTAAAACCAGGTTGCTTTCCTTATATACCGCCCAGTGATGCGGCTTTTTAAGAGCAGTAATGGAGGTGACACTTGTTGGCCTCTTGATGACAACGAGGAAGGAGAATCTGTATCATCTGATGATCTTATCTTACATCTTGACTCGTCTCAGGAACCAATCGTGTAAGTCTTCCATGATTAATTTGATTGTCTTTGACGAGTATGCATGTTTCTCATTACATTTGTTTTGGTTTGATGGAGATAATTTGGTTCCAGTATAGTATAATCCCTGAACACCCTGTAACTTGTATTAATTTGTACCCTTATTTTAGTAACTTGCCATTGGAATCCGTACGATTCAAGCTTCAGATTCTATTTCTTCACTTCGACTATCTATTCCGTAGCATGGATTATGAATGTTATATCGTCAATTTCCATTTTTTACCCCCAAAATTGTAGGTGAATTGCCATTCTATGTTTATTAATACTGAGTCACAAAGATGGCTAATAGTTCATGTGTCCCTCCACCATTATCTAATATTCACAACTGTTGGACTTCTCAATTGATGTCTTACACTGGTGTTCTGTCATGATATTGGTGAAGTACAAATATAGTACTCCCTCCATTCCAAATTATAAGTTCTAGCTTTTTCTAGATAGATACTATGTCTAGAGACATAATAAAAACAATGTATCTAGAAAAGCCAGAACGACTTATAATTTGGAATAGAGGAAGTAGCAAATAAAGGAATGTTTTGACTTTTGAAAGAAATATATACTTCTTCCAAAATGTCAATCAAAGCACAAATACATAATTTTTTCCTCAGATTTTCCCATTCAAAATATATTTTCATTTTGTCCAAGGCGAGAGGTCTCTTTATCATCCCTGATGTCTTGTGGAAACTAGCAATTTCTTAAAGGCTTGAATGTTGAATTACTACACGCTGAAACTATGAATCTATTTTTCAATCATTGTTGAGGTTAACACTGGTTAACATGTTTTTTAATATTAGTGGCATTTCTTTGACATTCTTCTGCTCATAAAAATATTTGAGCTGCTGGTGGTGGTGGTTGGTTCTACACCTTAACCTGAAGGCTCTTTCTGTGCATATGTGTGCATGGATGATCTTTATGCACAGTTGTACTCATGCCTTCTTTTTGGCTTAATAATCGGCTGGGATTTTTACCTTTCAGATTTTATGATAATTAACTTTGGTACATGTTTATTGATCTGCAATGCACAGTTACCGGACTATTAGTCCATGGTAATTTAAGTTATCAACTCACATGAATATTCTGTTTTGCTACAGGTGGTCAGATCTTCTTAACACAGTCCAGTCAATTTTGCCAGCAAAAGCTTGGAACAGTCTTTCACCAGATTTATATGCTACTTTCTGGGGCTTAACACTCTATGATCTTCACTTCCCAAAAGACCGTTATGATACAGAAATCAAGAAGCTGCATGATAATCTCAAACAATTGGAGGACAACTCAGATAACTCTAGCATTGCAATTTCAAGACGTAAGAAGGACAAGGAGAGAATCCAAGATTTACTTGACAAACTGAACAGTGAATCTCAGAAGCACCAGCAGCACATTGCATCTGTGGTCCAAAGGTTAGCCCTTGAAAAGGATAAGTGGTTGAGCTCCAGTCCGGATGCAATGAAAATCAACATGGAGTTCCTACAGCGCTGCATATTCCCACGATGTGTTTTTAGTATGCAAGACGCAGTATATTGTGCTACATTTGTCCAAACACTACACTCCCTTGGGACTCCTTTCTTTAACACAGTCAATCATATCGATGTTCTTGTCTGTAAAACCCTACAGCCAATGATATGCTGTTGCACGGAATTTGAAGCTGGCAGGCTTGGAAGGTTTTTTCATGATACGTTGAAGATGGCCTACTATTGGAAGGTATTTCCCCCCCTCAACGGTTACCACATTTATCATTGCTCTATTCATGGTAAAGAATGGTTGTCTCGGTTATTGTTTTAGTGCTTCTTAACTGTTTACCTCCAACACGCTGCAGAGTGATGAATCTGTTTATGAGCGTGAATGTGCAAACAAACCAGGTTTTGCAGTGTACTTCAGATACCCAAACAGCCAGCGTGTATCCTATGGTCAGTTTGTTCGGGTAGGTTTTATGCGTTCTTAAAGTTATATTTACTGTTGCTTGAAAATTTTTTCCCTGTGCATTCTATCATTTCTCATGTAATAAATGAAGAAAAGGTCATGACGGACCTTTGTTATACGCTTCGAACACAATAATTTATATGAAGTGGCTTTGGTATCGTGCATACTCAATCCAATAATAATGATAGTTCCCTGAATTTGAATGTGCGAGGTATGGAGTAGAAGGGAAACTTATACATTGGAATCAGGAAGAAGTCTACATAACTCCCTGAACTATTGCTGCTGGTCTACTTCACCCCTTAACCTACAAAACCAGGAATTCTATCTGCTCACCTATCCAAAACCGTTTAATCTAACCCCTAGGTAGTTTCGATCGGTGGTTTTGCCTCGCTGGCACAACCGAGGCCCACATGTCAGCACCACTATGGCTCAAGCCCGTTTGTTTTACAGATCTAATTCCGTAGTTTCAGCTTTTCATGAGCACTGTTTACCATAAAACCCAGTGGCAAAACCACCAATTGAAATCACCTCGATGTTCGATTACACGGTTTTGGATAGGTGAGGGGGTAGAATACCTTGTTTTGTAGGTTAGGGGGCAAAGTAGACCAACAATGATAGTTCAGGGGGGCTATATAGACTTTTTTTGAGGAATTAGTATGTTTTGGTAGCTGCTATTTCCCTTTGTACAATTGGTCATGCTTAACTCCACTTTTTCTTAGTGGAGCTTCTGTTCTACTAATCCATGATATTAGTTCTTTGTATTTGAAATACTCTTTAGTATTAGTATATTAGTATATGTCTTAGTATCTTGCTATTCCCTCTATATGTTTGGCCATGTTGATCTGAAAAATCAGGAAGTATATGATGCTTATGTGATCGTGTTATTCGCTGTTCTCTGTATTGAATGGTTTTCGCCATTTTTAATAATTTGTATTTTTTCTATTTTCTAAAGGTTCATTGGAAGTGGAGTTCAAGAATCACCAAAGCGCTTAACCAATGCATGGAATCAAAAGAATACATGGAAATCCGAAATGCCCTTATTGTGCTCACAAAGATTTCTAGTGTCTTTCCGGTGATTCGTAAAAGTGGTGTCAATCTTGAGAAACGGGTGAGTCCTTTACCATTTATTCCTTGTGTTATGCTGCTGGTATATTTCTCACCAACCTTTTTGACCAGGTGGCTAAACTAAAAGGGGATGAGAGAGAAGATCTTAAAGTTCTAGCCACTGGTGTAGCTGCTGCTTTAGCTGCTCGCAAGGTTAGTTCTACAATAATTCCAATTATTGTTTTCCCCTCTCCAGTAGGCAACATCTATTTGTGTACAATATGTACAAGTGCAATGCTCTCTATTGTGCAGAGTTCTTGGCTATCTGAAGAAGAGTTTGGCATGGGACACATTGATCTGAAGCCAGCAACAGCAAGATCTGTGCTTGGTAAATGGATTCTTCAGAAGTTTTTTGTGTAAGTTTTGTCATTAGCTTGAGCATCACTAATCTTTGGATCTCCTACAGGAAACCAGTCAGCAGATCCCTTGATGGCAAAAGATCAAAATGCCCGTGCAAAGTCTATAGATAATAGGCATGAAAGGTCAGAGGGTGCTATGAAGCCTGACGTTCAGCAAAAGAAGAGCTCTGTGCCTGCAAATGGATCTGATATTCAAATACCATCTTCCTCTGTACAAGGGAAATCTTCAGTGGTTGTTCGTGCAGTGGATGAACCTCCAAAACCTGTGTCTGATGAGGGGGTTAAAGTTTCTACAAAACCTACTTCAGAATCTGAGGTATCTGTCAGTTCTTCATGTCTTTAGTTTATATTTTCCATGGTTATCATACTTTATTATTTGAATTCATAGGAAAAGAAAACACAAGAATACTTAGCCAAAACTCCCATCACTAAATATATGCCTGTTTTCACTTGCACTATGCATCTTTATCATTATTTAGGTCTGCTCAATCTGTGTTTTTTCTGTCAGTAGTACTGAGTTTTAAAAGTCTGCCTGCCTGAATCCATGGCAATTTATATTTAGTGAAACTATATTAATTGATTGAATAGTAATTTCTTCTCTCCATATTTTTTTTGGTCATGATTTCAATTATTTGTTCGAAAGTCTGGTTATTAGCTCCTACTTTTGCCCTCTATATTTTCATGGACACTGTTTGCTGCTGAAGTTTTCTGCTATTTGGATTTTGTCAGGACAGTCTGATGTTTGATGTCAGTAGTCTGATGTTCTCATAGTTTTAGGCAACACCTGGCTACGGCTAAAAAGAGGGGGGGTGTCCTTGACTCGTTATTTAATTATTGAATTCCTCGTGGACGTACAATGTCCTAAAGGTGCCTTACAATCAATAAACATCATCAATCATTATGCTTGTATGCATATCAGTGAACAATGTTGTGTTGGACATGAGCTTTTGGAATTTATTTCAATTCTTTTATGCAACAGACAAGAGCAACACAAAAGCGTGCACACAATGCTGGGAAGGTAATGAAGCATGATGTTGCAAAGGAAGATGCAAAAGCTGGGAAATCTACTAGCTGGAATGTAAATCAACAAGTCTCAACTGTTGATAGAGAAGCAATGCCTCATGCAGCTGATGCTGCCCAAGAAACCAATACCACTATTAGCGATGGTAACTTGCATCCAGTGCAGCGGAAGGGTTCGTCATCTTCCCAAAGAAATGCAGTTTTGGTTACACATAATGGAGCAGCTAATCCCTCTGGTGAGTCTACTGATCTGATTGACTCTACCGTGAGACAGCAAAAAAGACCTGCTCTGATTGAGGAGCAAGATAGATCAGGTAAACGGAGGAAAGGAGAAAATGAACCCGATTTGAGTGAACACCATGTAGACAAGGAAAAGAGTTTGGACTCACGTGGCGGAGATAAGTTTCGTTCAGTGGATCATGAGAAGAGTGCTAATGAGGAACAAAACTTAAGTAGGGCAGACAGAATGAAAGAGAAATCTGATGATAAATATGACAGAGATCCTAGGGAAAAATTAGATCGAGCTGAAAGGCGTCGTGGGGAAGATGCCATTGAAAGATCAACAGATAGATTATCGGAGAGGAGAGAACGCTCTATTGAAAGATTGCAAGAGAGAGTGACAGATAAAGCCCCTGAAAAAGGTAGAGAGGATAGAAATAAGGACGAGAGGAATAAAGTTAAATATGCTGAACCTTCGGTGGACCGGACACATTCTTCTGATGAACGATTTCGAGGGCAAAGTTTGCCACCGCCCCCACCTCTTCCTGCAAGTTTTGTACCCCAATCAGTTGGTGCCAACCGACGTGAAGAAGATGCTGACCGAAGGGGTGGGAGCTCCAGGCATGTTCAAAGGTCATCTCCCAGGCGCGATGAGAAAGAAAGGAAGCAGTCAGAGGAGAATACTTCGTCATTTCAGGATGATGGGAAGCACAGAAGAGAGGAAGATATTCGTGATAGAAAGCGTGAGGATAGGGATATATTATCAAACAAGGTAAAAGACATCTTTACCAATTTATGTCCTGCATCCGGTGTGTGACCACTGTGTACTCTTCTTTTTTGTTGTATCAGTACAATTTTACATTTGTTCTGTATTCGATGATTGTTAGCTGCCATTTGACAGCAGAAGAATCCTATAGCTGTAATTTCACATATGCTGCCTTGTAAGGTTGCTTTAACTTCAAGAACCACATGTTTGACTTACAGATCCTTTGTTGATTGTATAGGTAGATGACAGGGATAGGGAAAAGGGGACTTCTTTGAAAGAAGATAGTGACCCTAGTAATGCTTCTAAACGGAGAAAGATCAAGCGAGACCAGACTTCTTTAGAAGCTGGGGAATATGCACCTTCTGCTCCACAGCCTCCCTCCCATGGATCCGGCAGCTCACAATTGTCTGACGTGCGAGAAAGAGAAAGGAAAGGGTTAATTTCACAACATCGTACCTCGCACGCTGATGACCTTCCTAAGACACATGGCAAGGACATGGCAAGCAAGTCAAGTCGTCGAGAGTCTGACCAGTGAGTTTGATAAAGAATAATTTCTTGTTCAAATATGCATTGCACAGTTTCTAACAAATATCTTTTCCGCTTTGTGATTTGCTCTTTGTTTTCTGTTTTCTTGGTTTGTTGGATTCCGTTGACAAAATCAAAGTCATAACATCTTAGCTTTGATTACATTCTCCCAGAAGTTCCAATGTTCTACTCAGAAACTGCAACGCTATAGGATGCTATTTTTCCTTCCAAATAAGGCTATGTAAAAATAACTAATAATTTGAACTTCACAGAAATAAAAAACAATTCTCCCCTCAGTCTTGAAAAAATGGCTCGTGTGTTGTATTTTATGGAATCATACTAATGTTTGGACATCAATATTGTGCATTTGAATTTTATATGAATAGATTCATCCGAAAATGTAGTTGTGTGATATTATAATTCAGAGAGTTTGCAAATATATACAATAAAAATCAAGGGTCAAAGTTACATTATGGGACCTCGGACGCACAGCATCATTATGTTACTATGTTAGGGAGAGAAAAGGAGCCAGGGCGGTCCCAACCCATAGTTTCTTTGAGCAGTTTCTAGAGAGAGAGAGAGAGAGAGAGAGGGTAATAAGGAACTAACCTTCGCATCCCATGGTTACTATAGTAGTTTCTATATGAAAAATAATTTAATGACCACATGCATCATCACAAAAAGGGGTTGATCAGCTACAACTAGCATCCATGTAGCCATCACACAAATTCACATGCCTATATGTACAGTTAGGTGATGCTCAACTGTACACGTGAGACAAATATAGTGACCAAGTACCAACTATGCACATGATACTCTGCAGGTACATACAATAATGTACACTTCTGCAAATAATCAACTGCAGATAACAATAAGGTGAAAAATTATACCCAGAACCATACCATTCTGAGCTGTTGGGCGGCACATCACCATCATCCACTGGCTGCAGTAGCACTTGATGCTTTGCGACTGAGCCAGAAGAGATATGAGCACCGACGGAGGCAACAGAGGTAGGCGCACCTGCTGCTTTCACTAGTGCGTCGTCTGGAGCTAGAAGACTTCTTCGATCTTTTCTCTCATTCCACGCCTCCATTTCCCTATTGATCCATTCTTGCAGAGATCAAGGATGAGAAGCAGATGGAGCAGGATCGATTGGGGATGAATATAGCACATATAGGTCATGCGGGTAGAGCTGGGCATTGGTTGGGTATCAATTGGGCAGAAGAGGGTTGGATGGAGCTGGCCCTCTCTGCCCAGGATAACGGCGCAGAAGAGGATCGATGGGAGGACGATGGTGCGTGTTCACAGATGGCTTCAGCGAGGGGGGCAACAGCGGCCAGGAGAAAAGCACATGGGATTCTGCTGCGGTGCGAAATGAAGCCGATGGAAATGACATGGGTGCCCCAACGCACGATGTGTGTTTTCTTGGTCCTTTGGAGCCCGAGCCGAAACGTTTTCTCAGGGGAGAAACAATTACTACCTCTCTAAGAAGACTATGGAAACTACCATGGACACTGGGTTGGGACTGCCCTAAGAAGACTCAAACAAGACCAATAGGGCAAGTTCTAGTACCGAAGAGTTGCGGAAAGAATAAAAACTACGACCAACGATCCATATCAAACTCCTACGGCCAAATGCCCCCGAGACCTTTGGCCCTTGCCATACACCATAAAAGGGCCTCATTTCTAATGTTCTGTAAGATCATATTAAGACTAGGTGAGCCCCCCTAAAAAACACAACCATTTCTATGTTTCCAAATCCACCAAACAACTAGCTCAACTTGAGAATTGAAACCCTTGTGATATTGCTTAGCCATTTTGATGCCTAGCCTGGCGCCACCATTCAGTAAAGATAGTGTCATTTGGCCCCGGTGCTTGCTGTTGCAGACCAACCTAGCAAACCACGCTTGTATCACTTCATCCAAAATCTTGCATACACAGCATGTATGCCCCCATCTTCATCAATCAATATCTAATCTGGATCCTCTAGAATTACATATACACGATCTAATGCAACCTAGTTGTCTTGACATTGCCCTGCTGAAAAGTTGCTACAGTCCTATGGCGGAAGATGGAAATGATTTCTTAGGCTGTGATGAGACCTTGATGAACTTCCAACTAAAATGATGTATCTTTAGCCAAATGTTGGTTGTAGTAGTTTTGGTATATAATAGATCACCAAATAATTAGCGTATAGAAAATTGCCCAATGTTCCATCTACCATGACAATGACAAGCGGGGCCTTGTCTGGTGGAACCGTATGTCGTGCATGATTGGTGGTGTTTTTGGCAAGCCCTGGCTTTGTCGTTACTAGGTTCGAAAGCAAACCCCCCCTGCAACAGCATGGTTTACTTATTCGTTAAGTTCCCTTAAATTGTGGCGATCCTTTGTAACAAAAGGAAGATATTAATCGCATCCTACCTCATATGTTTGAATCGTTTTCAATAAATGCATTATGTTTATATGCAAATGAAAGGCAAATATAACAGCAAATTAGTAAGCCAGATTTTTTCCTCCTATACTTTTGTAGTCATAAAAGAATTACTTTTGTAGTATTATGGTTTCTGGTGCTATTCACTTGCACATGTGTACATTATTTACTATCTAACGACGCTTGAATTTTGTTTTAAGAGCAATTCCATTTATTATGCTTGTGGTTCTGTTTCTCGAATGAACCTAACTTGGTTTAACTGCAGAATGCACGAGAGGGAATGGGAAGAGGAAAAGCGACCAAGAACTGAAACAAAAAGGAAGCATCGGAAATAGCTGATCAATGCTGACATGGATTCAGTTGAGCCTCATAAATTTTCTCCGAGCACAGTAGTGAATGCACTTGAATCTCATGTTTTCCTGTAGTGAGAACATGTTTCAGCATAGCTAAGCAGATTGTTTCTTAGTGTACTGCGCCAGTTAGGGGATGTGGAGCTTAAGATGACGGTAAAGCCTTTCCTGTTGAGCTCACCAATGCGGATTTAACATATGGAGATGAGCCATGTTTAGCTTCATACATTTTGTGCTGTAAACAATGTGGAATGTGGTATAGTGATTTGTACTTGTGAACATAGATGAGTGGCTCACCATCTGGGTATTTTGTATTTTAGTACTAACTGCTAACATGTTTGGTGTAGGAAGCATCACCATTTTTTGCATTGTGTAGAAATAATGTTAGGGATGCAGCATAATTGAAATGTACATATTGAGGCCAGAAATTTTGCTAGCTATTTACCTGTTCGGGTTCATTAAAGTTTGCTCAGAGTTGGTTGTGGTGGTTTTCTGGTTATCGTTCTTGTGAATCTTGTCGTGGTTGAGAGCATGTACCATGTTGCCATTGTTGGGACTAATCGTGCATGGATGTCAAGCTCGCCTTCGATCCTGGCATCGTCCTGTGTTTTGATTAGGCTGTGTGCCTGTGTCTCGAGCGCACGCAGAAACTGATTAGGCTGTGTACCTGTGTCTCGAGCGCACGCAGAAACTTCACTGGGATTTTGTAAAGAGATTTCATCGATGCTGCTGGATTTATGTAGGAATCGGGGAAGATTCCTGTTCCTTAGTGAGCCGTAGGTTACCATTGCCGGTGAACTGTGACCTTGTTGATTGTAAAACTTCTCAGGCAAGCTTCAAGAAACCGAAAATTGTAGCAGAGCCAGGTTACAAAACTTGCATTTGCTTTTATTTATTTATTACCTGGCCTTAGTTTGAAATTGCGTGGTTGCACATCTGTTTCTCTTAAATTTCTTCTAAATTGTCCAAAAAAAAAAAATCTTGTGTAATGGTTTCGGGTCTGTTTAGTTGGCGACCAAAACTTGCTAGGTATAACCTTCAGCAAAGTGTGGCGGTCACAAAAAAAAAATGTGGCGAGCAAAATTGAAGTCACACTTGTGGTAAGGTTTGGCATGAAAATAAGTCTATGACATGTAGGGCAGGGTTCTAAGAAAGTTTAGCGTGCCACAGCTGTAGCAGTGAATCAAACAGCTACCGAAAAAACTATGGCATGACTGACCTTTGGCACGGCAAGTTTTGGTCTCCAAACAAACTCGCCTGACATCTGACAGAAATTGCTCAAAATCGCTTGCGATTCGTTACGACCAATGTTTTTAAGGTGATAAAGCGAGGCGAGGCGACCAACTACCGCCTTACGCTAAAGCGAGTAAGGCGTAAGGCGAGGCGACGCCTTACGGCCATCCAACAGTAGTATAGACTAGAGAACTGGAAGCATGTCATACCTTGGTGTTGTCCTCTCCTGTGCAGCCCGCAGCCCCAAGTGTGTATCTAATAATACACTGCAATGGAGAGACAATTCAGGTCAGTACCTAGGTATTTCATAGGGAATATGACACCAGCAAAAAAAGAAATTAGTTGAGGGGCAGGTAAAGATTAACGAGTAGATAAGCACACTGCCACAAATAAAACCATTACACAAGTAGTTCAACAATAGTCCACTAAACAAGATAACCGGAGTGCTCAGTGAGCACATTCCACAATACTACAATACTAGTGCATAAATAGTCTGGCACAAATACTCTCACAACTCTCAAACATCATTAAGTCAATAGAAGTCATCCTCCATCACAAAAGGATATGAATTGCCACCACCAGCAGCAGCTTGATCACTTTCGTCAGCAACAATAGGTGCAATTTCACCATAGTCATCAACTTCCACATCATCAACCAGATATTCTTCATCAGAGTTATCATCTTCCATGTCTTCATCCTCCTGTGGTTCATAAGTCCTCCTAATTGGGGCAGTAGCTGCTGCAGACCGCCTACGAGTATAAGTTCTATCAATATTAGTTTCATCGTCGCGGGCTGCCCTAGGGAAATTACGACCACGATACATTTGGGATGCACCAACAGCCTCATCAACTTGATCCCATGTAATTTCAAGTCCACGGCCATTATGAACTGGTTCCGCATCCACATCAACCCATTCATTATTCCAATCAAAGTCTTCCAAACACAAAGGATCAAAGCTGCCTGCTCCTTTCTCATGTCGCTTTTGAAACCTCACTGCCATCTTTCGGTTGTACTGAACATAGACCAAATCATTAAGCCTTTTATGCTCTAACCTGTTTCTTTTCTTAGTATGAATCTGCAATGGTAAAAATGCAAACAAAAGAAATATTCAGCAAGCATTAATAGATAGTAGATTTTATTTATTCCTTGAACTAGGATAATTGAGTACTTATGTAATTGACAGATTACTTACTGACTCAAATGTGCTCCAACAACGCTCACAACCTGAAGCCGAAGCACAAAGCCCAACAACACGTTTTGCAAATCTTTGAAGCTCTATGGCTTTGCCACCATATGAACGCCACCATTCAACTAGATCAAGTGACCAAATAAACATTTTCATGTTAGAAATTAGGAAAGACTAAAAAATTAGATTGTACGGTCGTTGAATAATTTTATTGGGAGACTTGGTTTTGATGTTGTTGATTGCAATTTTGTTCTTTGAAGCTACCCTTAAGTCCTCATATTCCAAAGCTTGGTCATCAATCTTGTTTTGAAGATCTTGGTCGGGCACCATTTTTGAAAGAACCTCAAGAATGCAGACCTTAGCTTACCAGCCATAACATCATCTGCTTTTCAGATCAAAATACTTGTTTGGGTTCAAATATAGTGTTGCCCCATATAATGGTTGGTCCATTTGATCTTCCCAACGCTTGTCAATGATTGCCGAGATACGCTTAAGCAAGTCCGCTTTTCCCTAGTAGGGAAATTTTCTTTAATCTTTTTCTTTGCATATTCCATACAAAATCGAACCTCTGGCATTCTTTGGCCTCTCATCCCCATCAACTATCCTCAACAAAACAATAAGGGGTGTGATGCTCTCAGCAGATCCTCAACTGAGTTCCAAAATTCGGTTGAAAGGATGGTGTCATGCACTTTCTTTCCTACTTACTGTTCTTGCCAATTTGGACTTAGTCCAGTCATCACTTACAAATAGGAATTTCAGAGCATCCTTATGAGTGTGTAGGCTGTGCAAAGTGAGGAAAGCGAGAGTAAAACGAGTTACTCCTGGTCTAACAAGATCTCTACCTCTGTCTTCTCCCTCATTGCATCAAGAATCCTCCGTGCCTATAAATAAAGGTAGTAACTTGTCTTGCACGTGCAATAGGCTTGCTAAACTCCTTCATTTTGCCAATGTCCTCTAGCATGAGGTCCAAGCAGTGTCGCACAAGGGGTCTAGAAACGGTGTTGGAATTCTTTCCATAAGAAGCTTGCAAGCTACCTTATAATTAGCACCGTTGTCGGTGACCACTTGAACAACCTTGTCTCTTCCAATGAGATCAATTTCTCATCGTAGTAAATCGCCAACATTGGAGCATCATGTACTTCACTAGATGCATCAACAGACTCCAAGAAGAAAGTCCCTCCGGACTATTGACTAGGAAATTAATGAGGTGACGGCCCGCCTCTCTCACCCACCCATCGACATTAGTGTACAGTACCATATTGCTTCCAAGCGACCTCATGCTTCTCCTTTATTTTGTTGACTGTTCCTGACCTTTCCAAGCAATGGCACCCTCGCCTCATGGTAGCTTGGAGGTCTATATCCAGTCCATCTTGCCCAATGGCCTCACACATAATCTCAAGGCTCCTTGAGTTGATAGCATTGAGTGGTATTCTACACCGATAGAAGAAATTGGCCACATGCATATCGACTTCATCTCTTTCTTCCTTGGTCCCGATCCTTCCCTCCACTTCGCTTTGTGCAGTCCATTCTTAGAATGCCTTTCCTCAACCACTTCTTGAGTTTTTTCCAAGCATGGTAATCACTGACTTCTTCTCTTTCTCTTTTGGTCTAGGTGGTAGATTTGCAAATTTGAGAGCAGATTGCTTCCTTTTGGATGTTGTCCCTGAACTTGGATGTTGCACAGTTGTACCAGATGACTGAGAGGCAGCATTAGCATTGTTTTGAACCTCCACCACTTGAACACCATCATCATCATCATCATCTAGGTTTAGCGCTCTCCTTCTTCCCTGAACTAGTGCTGCTTCCATTTCAAAGACAATTTGTCGTTGTTGTCTTCTCACATTTGAGAGCATCTCCATATCCACCTACAAGATGCTCCTTCAATCTCTTGATTCCAGACTTTACTTGAGTTCCACAGAGGATACACTCAACCAAATCTCTGTTGCCAATTTCTGGCCAGAAGCCATACTTCCACCCAGGATCACCAGACCTGACCTTCCTTTTTGGATCTGTCCTTGGATCATATTCAGCAGTACCTGAGCCTACACTTTGTGGACTTACAATGTCTTGTGTTGCCATTTAGATGGACTCCTGTGAAACACGACAAGCAAAGTAATTATTACGCCTTAAAAACATTGGAGATCAGTAACGATCAAGCTTTTAGAAGGTGGTTAAACTTGTTCTTTGAATGCCCTCTAGCTAAATTCATCTGTAGCCTATTGCACACGCTTTTGGTTAAACTGTAGGCCAAGCTCTTTTGAACAATTCTGGTCCTGGGTGATTCTGTGCTTACCAACTGGAAAAGAATTCCATGTTGCTCAATGCTTCTATATGTTGGGCCCTGTTGAGAGCTGGAAACAATGTGTGCTTTGAGAAGAAAATAACCAAATCTCCTATTATGTTCATTCCTATCATACTGGGCAAGTCTTCGGAAGCAGGAAAACCCATAAGCTTTGGAGGAGGGACCTGAAGCTTTGAAGCAAATTGCCCTAAAGTTCCTCCAGTTGAGCAGATGCAGGGGTCACACATGGAGCAAGCTCTAACAGGCCAAAGGGTTTGGTGGCTTAACCTCATCGCCATCTGAACACCTTGGGAACTGGAAGATGCTGGAGTGCATGTCTGAGCACTGCTGTTTTAGACTAGATGGTGGCAGTTTAGATTATGTTCAGTTGTTAGTTGTCTCGTCTTTCCAGGATGTTGGATTGTAATGGCATTGTTTTGCTTTCGTGTTCGTGGTAGTTTGGGTGTGCTGCTCAGTTCTGGGCCCTGTATTCCGTCAGGCCATTTACAACATCATTTTGGTTTCGGGTGCTAATGTGGGTTGGTGAGACTTTTGAACACGTTAATCATTGTACCGTTTCTTGTAATTTCATTGCTTAGCAGTAATGAAATTTGGGTCACCCTGTTCTGGGAAAAAAAGAGAATGCTTTGTATTGCATATGACCTGCCATCTGGTTCACAGATCAAACTAACACTGAGCACTGAGTATTAGTTCACTAAACACTAAATAATTGACAACTAGACAAGTTGGTATATAAAAAACAAATTGCCGTCCAGATTACAGACACAAAGTAAAAGTGAGCAAAGCACCGAGCAAAACAAATATAAAGGATGCTGCTGTTCGGTCCGGCTCGAAAGAAGAGGCCACAAGCAAGTAGAAAAATACGAGCAGAGGAATCAATCAGTACCTGCTCGGCTCGGCGGACCAGAGGAGGCGGAGGACCAGAGCAGCGGCGGACCAGAGGAGGCGGCTCGGCGGAGGACCAGAGGAGGCGGCTCGGCAGACGGGCAGAGGACAGAGCACTGCCGCTGCCTTGCTGGGAGGTCGGGTCTCCGCTGCTCGGGCGGCGACTTCTCCCGGCAAGGCGGGAGAGCAGCGTCCGCGTGGTGGAGCAAAGCAGAAGGACCGGAGGAGGCGGCTCAGAGACGGGCAGAGGACCGAGAGCACTGCGCCCGGCGGGGAGGCTGGTCCTCGCGGCTCGGCGGCAGCGACTTCTCCCGGCGGCGCGGGAGAACGCGTCCGCGCGGGCGAGGTGTGGCTTCCGCTTCTTCCCCTGCTCTCCCGCTCGCTGGTAGGTCCGCTTCTCCCGCGCGCTCCTCTCTCCGCGCTCTATTTCTCCCGCGCGCCCACTCTTTTCCCCGCCCTTTCTTCCGCCATTTCCCGCCGCCTAGAAACGGACCCCTGTATGGCGCCCGCCACGCACGATTAGGCGCGAATCGGACGCCAAATAGACGACTTCCGGACGCCATGGTAGTAAGGCGGACGCCATACCAATATGAGGCGAGTCGTCCCGCCAAGTCGTCCCTCCTGTAGCGCCTTGCCGATTAGGCGTCGCTTTGGCGACGCCTTAAAAACATTGGTTACGACACAAGGAAAGGGGGACAATGCTAACGGCAGCAGATTCTTGTGGTAATAACAGAAGCTGACATAGCATTGATTATCTTTTCCTTCTCCAAGTTGCCACAGATTTCAGATCATGTGAACTCAAAATTTTCTATATAAAGTAAGAAAAAGGCATAATGAACTGGCATAGCGTTCAGATCATGTGAACTCAAAATTTCTCTCTATAAAGGAAGAAAAAACCATAATGAACTCCTGGCAAAGCGATGCGTATATGTTGTCAATGTTGACAAGTTCTTCGTTCGTTCTCTTCCTGAGCTCCAGACTCTGGACAGACTGTCTGATGGCCCAGACAGAGACAGATCACTTCCGGCCCTTCTTCTTCTGCTGTTTAGCTGTTGATCGACACGGTTACATGGCGACACCAAGAAAATCAACCCATTTGAGTTAGTAAGTACGAAGACGTCGAAGAGACAGGAAGAACAAAAGCATCGCACAGAGAGACAATCAGAGACGAATGACGAAGTGGTGATCAATTACCCAGTCTCCTCTTGGCCTCGGATTTGGCGAAGAACTCCGCCCACTCGTCCGTAAGCACGAACACCGGCTCCTCGTCTTCCTCCGCGTGCAGCGGCCTCGGCTCGGGATCCAAATCCTCCACGTCCTCTCTTACGGCGGCGCGGGGCGGCTCCGGTTGCCAGGGCGCCGCGCTCGGGTAGGTGTTGGGGAAGAGCACGGGGGCCGGGTGCCGCTGCTGGTTGTCGTGGAGGTGGGCCGGCGGCGCGGGAGCGAGCAGGTGGGGGTGGTGGTGGTGGTGGTCATGGCAGCAGCAGAGGTGGATGTGGACGTGATGGTGGTGGCGCGGGTCGAGGTGGAGGTGGACCAGGTGGTGGTGGCGGCGGGGAAGGCCCGGCTCTGGGTGCGGCGGATTCATGGCGTTTGAACCCTGCGAAGAGGTAGGGGTGGTCGCCGAGTCGGCGGACGGCGGCTCTGGTACTACTGGTAGTGGTAGAGCCGTAGAGGTACGGGGGTTTGGGAAGGAATATGAAACTCCATATAGCGCCTAGCGTCTGGTTTAGACTGGGGGTTAGAAATTAGTATTTGGTATTGTAGTATTTTCGTTTATATTTGATAATTATTGTTTAATTATGATCTAACTAGGTTTAAAAGTTTTGTCTCGTAATTTATAATTAAATTGTATAATTAGTTTTTTTTTATCTATATTTAAAACTTTATACATGTGTTAAAGATTTGATGTGACGGAGAGAGTGAAAAAACTTACCATCGAGGTTCCGCGCGCTGAGAACGCTCCGGTTCCTGTTTATATACTGTTCACGAATTCTGTGCAGCCACGTGCCGTAGTGCGTGTTTCATTCAGCTACGGTTCGAGGCGCCGCCCCGTGGTTCGTCCGTGTCCCAGCCTGCGTCTATGAATCTCAAGAAAAAAAACAACGCCTCGCCGCCTCCGCCTAGCTCCCATTCCATCTTCTTCGTCTCCTCCGGCCGCCGCGAGCCCGGATGCCGGCTCCCGTCAGCCGCGCGCGCTGATGCCGCCTGCCACCCGCCGCCACCGCTTCGTCTCCACCTCCTCTCCCTCTCACCCCGGCCGCAGCGCTCGCGGATGCCGCGCCCGGCCGCTACACATCGATGCCCCAGAAAAAACTGCCTAGGAGCCTCGCTGCCTCCGCCTCCTCTGCAGTCGCGGCGCGCGTGGATGCAGCGCCTGGCCGCCTCGCCGCGGTCGCAATGACTTCATCCTCTTCCTCTCCCCTGGTGCCAGCAAGCGCGCGGCAGCTACGCGGGCGGGGCGCTTCGTCGCATCTTCCTCTCGCCCAGCGGCGACGCGCACGGTGCCTCCTCCTTCCAATCAGTCGTCACTGCCAGCAAGACAAGGACAGTGGTGGCGATGGCCGCGCGAGATGTGGCACCAGCGGCGCGAGATGCGGTCACGGCGGCGCACAAAAAGTAGATGCGATTAAGGTACCCTCGCCTCCTCCAGTTCAGCCCACGGTATCCCTCCCTAACTCTTTGCCTTACTCCTCGGACAGAGTCGATGGAGTTAGCGGCGAGCTCGCTGCCCTCCTTTTTCCTCGGTGGCTCCGTCGATCCTAGCCTCTCCATACAGATGGACTTGGTGCCTGCTTGCCTACCTCGCAGTAATGCATCGTTGCCTTCCTCCCTCTCCTCCAGGGACTATTTGGATCGTAGAGCGTGGCCAAGGCTGCATCAGACTTGGTAAGACAATCCTCTTGACCTCTCTCTCAGGCTCATCCATCCCCTCCTAATTTATTTCGTGATTGGTTTTTTCATTCAGTTTCTTACATGCTTTTTTTATTCACCAAAACTTCCAAACACATGGCAATATTTGATTCATCGTATCTGTTGCTGCTCCACAGAAGGGAGTTCCAATTTCATGGTAGTTGTGTAGTGCTTCAACGATGCCATGTGCTCTCCTTCCATTCTTTCTTTTTTCCCCCTCAAATTAATTAGCTTCTTGGTGCTTTCCATCTGGTATGGTCCAAGGCTGGAGTGATGTTTCTTTTTCTTTGTTTCAGCACAAATTAGGATGGCAACAACTGTTCTTCCTGGATATGCCACATTGGCTATTAAAATCCCATGGTATGGTAGTCCTTATGATTGGCAATTTCGCAATATTCTTCCATACCTCAATTACAACTGATGATAGGCAAAACTGATGCAGCTACATATACATTCATTGCCAAAATTAAGAAAAAAAAAAGATTCAAGCACATTCTTTATTGTTTTATTTAGCCAAAACAGATACATCAGCTAGTGACATTAGTCATAGAACCTGGAGCACAACAGCAGGGATGTGCTTTTTTTTTTTTCTAATTACACCAATACAATCTGCAGGTATCAAACTTTGTTCTTGCCGCTAATCTGATGCCAACACTGCCAGTGGAGCCTCAAGTTGTCAAACTGGCTCTCTTTGGTCTAAAAGGAAGAGAAATTTACCTGCTCCAGTCAAACTCTCATCTGTGTCGATGGTGCTCTCTGGATCATCGGAAAGGGTCCACATTACACATCATGTCGAAGGTACTGCAGTTGTCCCATAAATCTGCTACACTGCAGTTGTCCCATGAATCTGCTAAACAAGATTAATCATCTTTTGCTACATATCACAATTCTTGTGCCTGTTGTTACATATGTAGTTTTATTCCTACCTGCCTAGCCCCACGGATATTGCTTATGTAATTTTATGTTTACCAGCCCAGCCCGCCAGATGCAACATCCACCTTTACTGATAGCTGAACAAGGAGATCTTCAACGCAACACACAGGAGATGGTCATGTTTAGCCTAGCCTGCAGCTGCACCAATCATCCTTAAACCTGTAATGTTAATACTTCACATCTATTCTATTGATCTATTGGCATCTCAGAGGTCAATTGCATATATTTACTAAACGCCTATAGCTGAACAAGGAGATTTTCAACACAACACACAGGAGATGGTCATGTTTAGCCTGCAGCTGCACCAATCATCCTTGAACCTATAATGTTAATACTTCACATCTATTCTATTGATCTATTGGCATCTCAGAGGTCAATTGCATATGTTTACTAAACGCCTATTACTTGATAGCACAAATCGATCTTCTATCACACTACCATCTACCAACATAGATGCTTCATGTATGTCAGTTGATGTTATTTCTCTTATTGAGCTTGAGTAATTGAACCTGAGGCTGAGCTAGCTTACTAGGTTGAGACTGAAACT